TAAAAGTAGGCCTTAGACAAGGATGTGTGATGTCACCGTGGTTGTTTAATATATTTATAGATGGGGTTGTAAGAGAAGTAAATGCGAGGGTCTTGGCAAGAGGCGTGGAGTTAAAAGATAAAGAATCACACATAAAGTGGAGTTGTCACAGTTGCTCTTTGCTGATGACACTGTGCTCTTGGGAGATTCTGAAGAGAAGTTGCAGAGATTGGTGGATGAATTTGGTAGGGTATGCAAAAGAAGAAAATTAAAAGTGAATATAGGAAAGAGTAAGGTTATGAGGATAACAAAAAGATTAGGTGATGAAAGATTGGATATCAGATTGGAGGGAGAGAGTATGGAGGAGGTGAATGTATTCAGATATTTGGGAGTGGACGTGTCAGCAGATGGGTCTATGAAAGATGAGGTGAATCATAGAATTGATGAGGGGAAAAGGGTGAGTGGTGCACTTAGGAGTCTGTGGAGACAAAGAACTTTGTCCTTGGAGGCAAAGAGGGGAATGTATGAGAGTATAGTTTTACCAACGCTCTTATATGGGTGTGAAGCATGGGTGATGAATGTTGCAGCGAGGAGAAGGCTGGAGGCAGCGGAGATGTCATGTCTGAGGGCAATGTGTGGTGTGAATATAATGCAGAGAATTCGTAGTTTGAAGTTAGGAGCAGGTGCGGGATTACCAAAACTGTTGTCCAGAGGGCTGAGGAAGGGTTGTTGAGGTGGTTCGGACATGTAGAGAGAATGGAGCAAAACAGAATGACTTCAAGAGCATATCAGTCTGTAGTGGAAGGAAGGCGGGGTAGGGGTCGGCCTAGGAAAGGTTGGAGGGAGGGGGTAAAGGAGGTTTTGTGTGCGAGGGGCTTGGACTTCCAGCAGGCATGCGTGAGCATGTTTGATAGGAGTGAATGGAGACAAATGGTTTTTAATACTTGACGTGCTGTTGGAGTGTGAGGAAAGTAACATTTATGAAGGGGTTCAGGGAAACCGGCAGGCCGGACTTGAGTCCTGGAGATGGGAAGTACAGTGCCTGCACTCTGAAGGAGGGGTGTTAATGTTGCAGTTTAAAAACTGTAGTGTAAAGCACTCTTCTGGCAAGACAGTGATGGAGTGAATGATGGTGAAAGTTTTTCTTTTTCGGGCCACCCTGCCTTGGTGGGAATCAGCCAGTGTGATAAAAAAAAAAAAATTCTCTTTCTCACTGAACCTTGTCCAGAAAGTTCCTCAAGCCTGTATAATCCCCTCTCTTGTAGTTAGGCTTCCTCCACTCTGCACTTCCTGCTTCCCTCTTCATTAGTAACTCTGTGTATTCGAAGCTCAGAACTGCATGATCAATAGCTCCGAGGGGCCTTTCATATGTGATGCCCTCTATATCTGCACTACTTAAGGTGAATATTAGGTCCAGTCTTGCTGGTTTGTCTTCTCTCTCTCTAGTATTGTCTCTAATGTGCTGGTGCATGAGGTTTTCAAGTACCACCTCCATCATCTTTGTATTCACGTTTCTGGGCCCCCATGTAATCCAGGTTTTCCCATTCGATTTCTTTGCAGTTGAAGTCATCCACAACCAGTAGCTTTACTCTGCCTATGTGGGCCCTTCTGGCTAGTTCAGCTATTGTGTCAACCATTGCTCTGTTACTCTCATCATATTCTTGTCTTGGCCTCCTGCTATTTTGTGGTGGGTTACACATCACTGCAATTACCACCTTGGGACCTCCAGACTGAAGTGTTCCTATTATGTAGCTCTTGCTTCTCCTCTCTCCAGCTCATCAAAATCCCATTGGTTTTTGATGAACAGTGCCACTCCTCCACCCCCTCTGTTCCTTCTGTCTTTCCTCAGGATCTGATATCCATTTGGAAAGATGGCATATATTATCATTTCCTGTGAGCTTGGTTTCTGTGAGAGCTATGATGTCCAGTGGTGCCTCTTTGATTCTTTCATGCCACTCCACCCACTTATGCATTATTCCATCAGCATTTGTGTACTGTTACAAACACTGGTCCTTAAAACGTCTCTACACAGGTAAAGAGTATTTTTATTTCATATGCTTGTTACCAGTGTAGTAACATGGGAGAGTTTGGGATTACCAAATAAACACTTAAATTTATAATGTGTACTATAAACATATTTTGCATAAAAATAAGGAGTCTAACTCCTGCTCTTATCTTTGGTGTAGATATATCACATACACAATCACAGATAACAACTATAAAGTAAATCGTCATGACCCTATAGTGTCTCAGTGTCATATGTCACTGCTGTCCTCTGGTGTCTCATGACACTACCAATCTGTGTCATGACACTCCATCATGGTGTCCCATGACACTTCCTTGTCACCGTGTTCCATGACACCTTCTCCGTGGTACATCCACGACACTGCCTTGTCCCTGTGTCATAACACTCCGTCTCTGTACTTTTCTCCACGTCATCTGACACTTCAACACTCACCGGGTTACACGACACCCTTTACGTTCCCTCTGACACTACTGTCATATCACACCACTCAGTATCACACACAGGAAAGTACTGGTTTGGTAATAGAGTTGTGGATGAGTGGAACAAACTCCCAAGTACAGTTATAGAGGCCAGAACGTTGTGTAGCTTTAAAAATAGGTTGGATAAATACATGAGTGGATGTGGGTGGGTGTGAGTTGGACCTGATAGCTTGTGCTACCAGGTCGGCTGCCATGTTCCTCTCTTAAGTCAATGTGACCTGACCTGACTAGGTTGGGTGCATTGGCTTAAGCCGGTAGGAGACTTGGACCTGCCTCACATGGGCCAGTAGGCCTGCTGCAGTGTTCCTTCGTTCTTATGTTCTTAAGTCAATAGACTGGGTGAGGCCGCCAGGTAACAGAAGCCTTCGAGGAACTGAGGTGAGAGACCCACCAGGTGTACTCAGTGAGGCAGTCTGGTGAAGACTCTCAAGGCCAGTAGATGTCACCACCAGGTGTACTCAGTGAGGCAGTCTGGTGAAGACTCTCAAGGCCAGTAGATGTCACCATCAGGTGTACTCAGTGAGGCAGTCTGGTGAAGACTCTCAAGGCCAGTAGATGTCACCATCAGGTGTACTCCGTGAGACAGTCTGGTGAACATTCTTTATAAGGCCGGCTCAGCAGTCCCCACATTGGGTTTGATGAGGTACCCAGTGGTACTGCAGGCCGGCAGGTTAACTATCTAACCACCAGTTTGGTAGGAGGCCGCAACATGTACCATTTATTTATTTATTTATTTATTTGAACATGATACAGAGAAGTACAAGGAATACAATTTTTAAAGTGCAGCATGCCAAAGCCCCATGTATGCTGAGCATTATGGGCAGGCTTAAAATTAACTTAAGATTAACTAAGCAATGATATATTCAGTGGCACAAAAATTATTGTAAAACAGATAACAATTTAGTACAAATGAGTATTACAAAGACAGGTCATATGGTCATTACTGTGTTGCTGTGTAATCAGTAGAATGGAGTATTATGTTAGGTAATGAAGTTAAATAGTAACAAAGTTTGATTGGGTCACAGGTTGACATTTATGAGATACAATAATGAGATACATATATGAGATACAATTTATGAGATACAATTATTCAGTATTTATTTAGTTGTGGGTGAGTAAGTGATTTTTGAGAAGAGACTTGAATTTATAAACAGACAGTGTTTCTTTTATATTCACAGGTAATGAATTACAGATTTTAGGGCCTTTTATGTGCATTGAGTTTTTGCATAGCGTGAGATGGACACGAGGAACATCAAAGAGTGATCTGTGTCTTGTGTTATGGTCATGTGTTCTGTTGAGGTTGGTAAGGAGATGTTTGAGGGGAGGGTTAATATCAGAGTTAAGTGTTCTATGTATGTAATAGGTGCAGTAATAAGTATGGATGTTTTGTATGGTGAGTAGGTTTAGAGTTTTGAATATTGGTGGAGTGTGCTGTCTGTAGTGAGAATTTGTTATCATTCTGACTGCAGCCTTTTGTTGGGTGATTAGTGGTCTGAGATGTTTATTATTGTTGAGCCCCATGCACAAATTCCATAGGTGAGATAGGGGTAAATAAGTGAGTGATATAGAGCCAGGAGGGCTGACTGTGGAACATAGTACCGTATCTTTGATAGTATGCCTACGGTCTTCAACACTGCATTCTGGGGGGTTTGTGGAGGTTGGGGGGAGTGGGGCACCTGGCAGGGTGGTGTGGGAGTACACTACATAGTGTGGGGTGGGGACTGTGAGTGTGGATTGTGGTTTGTATTGAAATAGTGTGTTTGGCTGTGGGGTTCTGAGGGGTGTTTGCGCTTGTTGCTTTGTCCGCTGTTGACTCTATCCTTGTCTCTCTTTCTAGCCCCTTTGTTTTCTGTGTCCTCTCTCTCAGTTGCTGTTATTCTGTTCTCATTCTGTCACAGATTAGGCACACCCTCTTGTAAGTTTAAGTTTCCTTCAGCTGTGATTTCTCTTGCAAGATCCCGCTCCTCACTGTTTCTGTCGATTTCTCCCCTTCGAGTACCCTCCTGTTCTTTGAAAATTTACTATCTCAGTCATGTCATCCTTGCCTATTACTTTGATGATGTTTTCAATCTATTGTTTTCCTTTGTCATCTTTCATTGTGTGTCCTCCCTTGTGTGCGTGTGTACTCACCTATTTGTGGTTGCAGGGGTCGATTCATAGTTCCTGGTTGTGTGTGTGAACCATACACTCTTCACTCGACCCCTCTGTGGTATATCTACTGGCCAGGTAGACCTGTGGGTATATCTACTGGTCAGGTAGACCTGTGGGTATATCTACTGGCCAAGTAGACCTGTGGGTATATAAACTGGCCAAGTAGACCTGTGGGCATATCTACTGGCCAGGTAGACCTGTGGATATATCTACTGGCTAGATAGACCTGTTGGTATATCTACTGGCCAAGTAGACATTTGTGGATATATCTACTGGCCAAGTAGACCTGTGGGCATATCTACTGGCCAGGTAGTCCTGTGGTTATGTCTATTGCTCCATCATTAACATTATAATGTGTGTTACAGGGCGGCACTATTCTGGGCGACCCGGACAAGATTGAGGAACTCGGGCACTCACAGGTGCCATACCAACTCTTCCTGGAGTATATCTTTGGTCTGGGTGAAGGTAATTACAAGTGAGTATACTCTAGCATGGTGTATGAGGGTGTATGACTGTGTATTAGTGTTATGTGGAAGCCTGATAAATGTTTTGCACTCTGAGAGTGACCATCCTGGGAGGCACTTCCTGTGTTAGATGCTGAGAGTGACCATCCTGGGAGGCACTTCCTGTATTAGATGCTGACAGTGACCATCCTGGGAGGTACTTCCTGTGTTAGATGCTGACAGTGATCATCCTGGGAGGCACTTCCTGTGTTAGATGCTGACAGTGATCATCCTGGGAGGCACTTCCTGTGTTAGATGCTGACAGTGATCATCCTGGGAGGCACTTCCTGTGTTAGATGCTGACAGTGACTGTCCTGGGAGGTACTTCCCTGGGCCAGAAGCATGGAGGGCTAAGATGCTGGAGACAGTATTGGAGAACTTCATGCACCAACATGTTAGGGATACTGCAAGAGAGGAGAGGATGTTGCAGCAAGGCTGGATCTCATATTCACCCTGAATAGCTCAGACATGTGTTAAACACTGGCAGTGACTTCCGTCACATAACCATGTAGCACGCCTCTCGATTAGTTAATTAGCAATTTAGTGTAAGAGTTCTGGGATGAGAACACTCGCGTAACACAAGTATTCTTGTTCCACATAGTGTTCTTGCTCCACCTAGAACTGTGGTATGTCAGGGTGTTGTTGTCGCTGTACAAGTGGACCACATGAAGATGGCAAGAAAATATCGAAGTGTTGAAGTGTGAGGATCAGAACCAGAGCTTCCTTCTGGATGGTGGTGGAGGTGTGCTGGTATGGTGTCAGTATGGTAGGAAGGGAGGCAGGTGGATGGAGGATGCCATCACCACAACCTTGCAACAATTCACCAACTTTCAGACATCCACCTGTTTGCAGCAAGGCTGAAGACAACAGTATATGTGCAGCATTTTATAGTTTTTAATGAAACTAGTGGATCAAATATATTTTTTCTTAGGACTAGTAAGAGAGGTTAGGAGGGCCGCAATCTTAAAAAAAAAATTACAGAATTTCCTATAAAACTGTATCATCCCCAGGAATCTTTGAAGGGACTTTTATCTTGGGAACTGAATAATTCTAAAACTTAGCAAAGTTTAGTGCAACTTTACCACTTCAAGCTCATGGCCCAGGAAAGTTATGGTAGATTGGCCAAAGGATGAATTACTAAGATTTACTCTAACTTAGATTTCTGAAATTCTCAAATAAATCTTTAACAAAGGACAGACATTTTGGTCACAAGTGTCGGAAACAACTAAATCGTCCAAGTAGGTGGATGTGCCTGAAAACCCTTTAACCCTTTGAGGGTCCGTCCCGTAGATCTATGGCTTTATGTTCAGGGTCCAAACCGTAGATCTACGTCATGAGCTCAGCTCACTCTGATAAACTGTGAGTGGTACATTTGGGCCTAGAAATGAGAGAATACATCTATGTGGTATGTGTGCACCACATAAAACAGATCCTGCAGCACGCTGTGTATAATGAGAGAAAAAAACTGAAATCATGATTTTTCGATTAAAACAGCGACTTTGCAGTGTTTTTTCGTATGTTTTTTATAGTTCTATTTGCGATTTCTTGGTCTCATTTGATAGAATGGAAGACATATTACAGAAATAGAGATGATTTTGATTGGTTTTAGCACTGGAAATGGCTTGAAACTGAGCTCAAAGTAGCAGAAATGTTAAATTTTTGCCGATATTCAAGAGTAAACAAACGACCTCACACGTCTAATACACGCCAGCTGGTGGGTCTTATATGCATTCACAAATATGGTGATGATATTTATACAATTATTACAGTATTGCATAACAGTAAATCTTCTATTTTTTGGTGTGAATAAAATTCATTATGTGAATAAAAAATCAAAATGGAATTTATTTGTAAAGCCTCAAAATGTAACTAATGAACAGAGGAAATGTTAGTTTAGTTCCAGGAATACCTACATTGTTTATTCTGGAGCCTATTTTGAAATTGGAATATTTTGAACTTTGTGTTAAATTGGCCAAATTAACAATTTCCGATCACTTTATTTTGTAGTTGAAACAGTTGACTTGGCGATTTCTTGTGCTCAATCGATAGAATAGAAGTAATACTAGTGAAATAGCTAAGAATTTGCTTGACTGGAATAATGTAATTGGCCTAAAATGGGAGTCAAAGTCGGCAAAATCGCCGATTCGTAAATATCGCTGACACATCAAAATTCGCAAGAGCATAATTTCGTCAATTTTCCATCAAATTTTGTATTTTTTGTTTTATTACCTTCACAAAAAGATTCTTTACCATTTCATAAGAAAAAATAACAAATTTTTTTTTGGAAAATTCTTGGACACTGGGGCACCACTTCAGATTTGGGCCTTGGACCCTGAAGGGGTTAATAGCCTGATGGATCAGTGACTATATACTGATAATGACCTCCAGGAATTACGAATTCACAGATCTCCTTGGCTCTGTCAGTTAAAGGAATTTGATGGTACCGTTTAAAGTTTAATTTTGAAACATTCTTGACCTTACCCACAAAGACCACCATGTCATACGTAAGACGGCGAGCATCTGGTAATGTGATCTCATTCACCTTACAGTAACCTGTACACATTTGTACTCCTCCATCAGGTTTGTTAGCAAGGATGCAAGGTGAGGCCTTCAAGACTTCCACTGGCCCATCTAACAGAAATTTTACCTCATGTTGAAGTAGTCTCTGCTTCTCTGGACTAGCTGTGTAGGGAGAGAGTTAAATAGGTTAGGCAGAGCCCACGTTATGGTAACTAACATTACACATCTTCGGAACATTCGAAGATATGTTAGGATAGGCCTACAGAAGGTTTCTCAGATCCATCATTAAGGCTTCTGCAAATCCTGACAAGAGAGAGCGAGGATCCTGAAGTAGAGCCTAGTTAAGAAGCCTAATTTGACCCTGCAGAGCTGTACAGAAGGACTCAGGGTCGTCAACAAAGGCCCTGAGGTGGTTCATTTAACTTTTTAATCTGGTTAATGTGGAAGCCTTTATGAGTTTTTCTGAACCACCTGCATAGTTGCAGTGAACCTTGTTTCAAGGTGTGAGCAGATACAGGTTCCTGGACCAACACCTTTTCTCCCTTAACAAATGAACTGGATTTAGCTGCCTTTGATATACTGTACTTCTGTTCCATGTTGTCAAGGGCCCTCTTAAGACTGTCCTTAACCAGGTGACGTGCCAGGGACAGTCTTGCCTGATGATCATAGGTATTACAGACCACTTGACTACTGTCTGTGTACGTGATAGTGACCATCCTGGAAGGTACTTCCCTCCTGTATTAAATACTGAGTAACCATCCTGGGAGGTACTTCCCTCCTGTATTAAATACTGACAGTGACCATCCTGAGAGGCACTTCCCTCTTGGGATAGACATTGACAGTGTTCACTCTGGCATGGGCACTCACCCAGGCCAGCTAGGTGACTCATGCTCGACTAAATCAGGGGAAGTAGGTGGCTGAGGTCCAACAGCTGAATTCTCTCCTAACTCCTCAGTACCTAGCAATAAGTAGGTATTGGTGGCCTGGTGGCTAAAGCTCCCGCTTCACACACGGAGGGCCCGGGTTCGATTCCCGGTGGGTGGAAACATTTCGACACGTTTCCTTACACCTGTTGTCCTGTTCACCTAGCAGCAAATAGGTACCTGGGTGTTAGTTGACTGGTGTGGGTCGCATCCTGGGGGACAAGATTAAGGACCCCAATGGAAATAAGTTAGACAGTCCTCGATGACGCACTGACTTTCTTGGGTTATCCTGGGTGGCTAACCCTACAGGGTTAAAAATCTGAACGAAATCTTATCTTATCTTATTTGGGTGGTAGTCACCTTACACCTGCTGTCACCGTATATAAAGTGGTACACTTTTTTACCTAACAAACTGGCCTGGGTTACACTTCAGTAGGCTTATGTATACCTGACACCAACACTGGTATACTCTTTCATTTCCTAACAGCCTAAATTTGATTTTTATGGACTATCATATTCCATAGGCCTATTTTGGGGGATTTGCTGATTAGGCCTATAGTTTTGACTTAAATCGTCACAGTACAACTGCTAACAAATGCTGTGCTAACCTTTGTATAGTGTATAACAATGTAGTTAGTTAAGTGTATGTTGTTAGTATAACATGGTACAGTAGTTAGCACACTGACCTGTTCTGTCTAACATGGTACAGTTGTTAGCACACTGACCTGTAGTGTCTAACATGGTACAGTTGTTAGCACACTGACCTGTAGTATCTAACATGGTAAAGTTGTTAGCACACTGACCTGTAGTGTCTAACATGGTACAGTTGTTAGCACACTGACCTGTAGTGTCTAACATGGTACAGTCACTACACTGACCTGTAGTGTCTAACATGGTACAGTTGTTAGCACACTTGCTTGGTAGTTTGAGCACTGTCCCACCATGGTTCAAGTCCTGTCGTTGTGATGTGGTTCTGGTCGTGCTGGAGAGTTGTTACCTTCTGAGTCATTATCGCCTGAATTAATTTTCTTGTAAGTGACAAATCAAGTCGAGATAGCCCGTGAAAACTTAAACCCAGTCAAAATGTTGGCACAAGAGACATTGCTTCCATTAACTATTATTATTATTATTATTATTATTATTATTAGGAATGTGCGCTGCTGGGACAACATGTACAGTACTTTTAAAAGTGCCTTCTGAGGTGATGTATGATTTGTTGATACACGATGATACATAGTGATGCATGGTGATATGTGGTGACACATGATACATTGTGATATGTGGTGACACATGATATATTGTGATATGTGGTGATACACGATACATTTTGATATGTGGTGATACATGATACATGGTGATATATGGTGATACATGATACATGGTGATATATGGTGATACATGATACATAGTGATGTCTGGTGATATATGATGATATATGGTTATACATGATACATGGTGATACATGATTATACATGATACATGGTTATACATGATACATAATGATACATAGTTATACATGATACATAGTGATACATGGTTATACACGACACATGATTCCTGGTGGATTACCTTGTAAATATTAAGTGAGGATGGTTCCCACAGACCTGGCGCTTACGACCTCCTCAAACACAACTGTAACAACTTCAGTGACGAAGTGTCTCAGTTCCTGTGTGGCCACGGCGTCCCCAAACACATCCTCCAGCTCCCTGATGAAGTACTCAATACGTGAGTCCAAACTATTATTATATTTATCATTATTATTACAATGGTCAAATGTCTCCTGACAGATAGGGACTGAAGAATATACACTAAGTGGAACACATTTCCCCATGGAATCCCATGTTATAATCAGAGATAGGGACCATGAGCTTGATATTTCTCTACTACTGCATCTCGGTGGTTATGCTGGGATTGACTACAGTCAACTCTCTTACAAAGCTCCTCAGTACAGTGTGTCTTCATAATCTGGACTGAGAGAATGCATAAAAAATTGAACAGCATTTAGGAAGGTCTTCATTGTACACCATTTCTGAGTGCTTTATTTCCAAGTACTAAAATTCAGAGGAGCTTTATAGGAGAAGCTACTGGATGTGACAAAAAACAGGAGATCCCCAATTTATATGTGTGTCCTTCCCGTGTGTTTGAATTCACAAACATATTGTTCGTAGGTAAAACAGAGAATGTTTGTGTTTTACACACATTAATACAGTGTAAGTTGAGAACCTGTTGTATTTGTTACTAATACAACTCAGAAACTGCTGTATTTGTTACTAATACAACTCAGAAGCTGCTGTATTTGTTACTAATACATTTCAGAAGCTGTTGTATTTGTTACTAATGCAACTTAAAAACTGTTGTATTTGTTACAAATACAACTGAGAAACTGTTGTATGCTTGCTAATACATTTTAGAAGCCATTGTATTTTTTATTAATGCTGTTTTTAAAACTACATAGCATACTAACTGTCACTCTATCTAGCTTCTAGATGTTGGTAACTGTGCTAACTGTGCCACTTAGTATTAGTACGATAACTCTCTCGATTTAGCAAACTTTGGATAGATGGGGCAGATCGGATGGGTTGATTTTTTATCAAGGTTGTTAGTGTGAGAATGTTGGTCAATCAATCTACTCTCTTTATCTCACACTATCTTTCTCTCTGTCTCTCAACACCGCAATTAATATTACCACTGTCTGGTACAATGTACAGTCACTTTTCTTATAAAGCTCCACTATATACATTCTCATTTACCTGAGAGTTGACTGATAAATTGACTTCTTGACAGGTCCCAGTCAGTTATATGCAGAGTTGACTGGCGATGTTGTGATCAAGGGGGGAAAATAATGAAATAATCACATAAAGTCTTATAAACCGTGGGATTTAGCAGACAGGTCCAGTCAGTCCGACCAGTTCGCTGAATCGGGAGTGTTTAGACTGGCGTGACTAACTGTATGTTGTTGTTGTGTGTGCATGCAGGCCCCTGGGGCAGGCTGTCCTGCCCCTGATCAACAGTCTGCAGGTCACCGTCGATGACCACGCCCCCCCCAACCACCACCGGCCGGGACAGCCCCCCTACTAGGTCATCGCCAACGATGACAACCGACCTCGCTGCTTTTACATCGCTACTACCGTCAACTTAACACCCATATGGACACTAAAGTCACTGTTTTTTATAAAGCTCTTTAAATACAGTCAGTTCTCTTATAAAGCTCTTCTATATAGTGTACTTCTCTTATAAAGCTCCTCTATATACAGTGAGCTCTCCTATAAAGCTCCTCTATATACAGTGAGCTCTCCTATAAATTATTATTATAATCAAGGGAGGAAGCGCTAAACCCGGAGGATTATACAGCGCCTGGGGGGGGATGTGGAAGGCATTCAGGCTTAATTCGGGGAACTGGAGCACAGTGCTCTCCTATAAAGCTCCTCTATATACACCCAGCTGTCTTATAAAGCTCCTTCATGTACAGTTACCTCTCATATAACACTAATAAAGCTGACTGTATATAGAGGAACTTTATAAGAGAACTGACTGTATATACAGGAGCTTTATAAGAGAGGTGACTGTATATACAGGAGCTTTATAGAGTAACTTAATGTATGTAGAAGAAACTGCCTAAATATACAAATTTTAAAAATACTTTTCGAGGAGAGTTTACAAAGTTAGTTTATAAAGCAAAGAGAGTTTGCAAAGTTAGTTTGCAAAGTAAGAAGAGTTTACAAAGTTAGTTTACAAAGTAAGGAGAGCTTGCAAAGTAAGTTTACAAAGTAAGAAGAGTTTGCAAAGTTAGTTTACAAAGTAAGAAGAGTTTACAAAGTTAGTTTACAAAGTAAGGAGAGCTTGCAAAGTAAGTTTACAAAGTAAGGAGAGTTTGCAAAGTTAGTTTACAAAGTAAGAAGAGCTTGCAAAGTTAGTTTACAAAGTAAGAAGAGTTTACAAAGTTAGTTTACAAAGTAAGGAGAGCTTGCAAAGTTAGTTTACAAAGTAAGAAGAGTTTACAAAGTTAGTTTACAAAGTAAGGAGAGCTTGCAAAGTTAGTTTACAAAGTAAGGAGAGCTTGCAAAGTTAGTTTACAAAGTAAGGAGAGCTTGCAAAGTTAGTTTACAAAGTAAGGAGAGCTTGCAAAGTTAGTTTACAAAGTAAGGAGAGTTTGCAAAGTTAGTTTACAAAGTAAGAAGAGCTTACAAAGTTTACAAAGTAAGGAGAGCTTACAAAGTTTACAAAGTAAGGAGAGTTATTACTAAGGTCACATAACTAACATGTTGAATTAGCAAGAGATTTATTCTGGATGATGTTAATATTGCTACCTATAGTATATAGAATATACCTTAATAGATTATGTAGGCCTGTCTCCTATGTTAAATATATTAAATTGTAGGAGAAATTGTGTATAAAGTCATTAAAGAATTTCTGAAATATTTACATAATTTACAACCTACTGAATTTACAACCAGTAAGTGTGACCCCAGAGATGTAAATGAGACCCCAGAGATGTAAGTGTGACCCCAGAGATGTAAATGAGACTGGTGGTGCTATAACCAGCCAGCTCTAATATGCACTGTCCGGTAACAATACACCTCAACACACTAACACCTCTAACACACAACAGTGCAAGCAGGGTCACAGTGCAGAAGTGTAAGCAGGGTTACAGTAAGTTTAAGCAGGGTCACAGTGCAACAATGTAAGCAGGGTCACAGTGCAAGTGTGTTAGCAGGGTCACAGTGCAGCAGTGTAAGCAGGGTCACAGTGCAACAATATAAACAGGGTCACAGCACAGCTCAGAAACAAGTCTATCCATTATGGAGAGAGAGTTGATACTGTGAATGACTCTGCCTGTACTTCCTACTCTTGTGTGCAACATTACAAGCTCCTGATATTGTGTTGATTGTAACACAAAAGACCTAGAGCTATCACTGAACTTCCCTGTGGTTATTTTCCATATATATTTACATCTTTCTTCTTTCAACAAACCAGGGGTATCCCACTGAGGCAGACTGGATAACCCGGGTATCCCACTGAGGCAGACTGGATAACCCAGGTATCCCGCTGAGGCAGACTGGATAACCCGGGTATCCCACTGAGGCAGACTGGATAACCCGGGTATCCCGCTGAGGCAGACTGGATAACCCGGGTATCCCGCTGAGGCAGACTGGATAACCCGGGTATCCCGCTGAGGCAGACTGGATAACCCGGGTATCCCGCTGAGGCAGACTGGATAACCCGGGTATCCCGCTGAGGCAGACTGGATAACCCGAATATCCTGCTGAGGCAGACTGGATAACCCGGGTATCCCACTGAGGCAGACTGGATAACCCGGGTATCCCACTGAGGCAGACTGGATAACCCGAGTATCCCACTGAGGCAGACTGGATAACCCGAGTATCCCACTGAGGCAGACTGGATAACCCGGGTATCCCACTGAGGCAGACTGGATAACCCTACAAGAAAAACTAAAGTTTCTCTTTTTAACTTTAATGATGTATACAGGAGAAGGGGTTACTGGCCCCTCGCTCCTGGCATTTTTAACTTTAATGATGTATACAGGAGAAGGGGTTACTGGCCCCTCGCTCCCGGCATTTTTAACTTTAATGATGTATACAGGAGAAGGGGTCACTGGCCCCTCGCTCCCGGCATTTTTAACTTTAATGATGGACTGAACACATCGACTCCAGGCTGAGGGACTGATTACCTCATACTCCTCCTCTCCTTACGCCTTCCTCTTTGTATTGGACTGATGAAGCCACTGTGTGGCGAAACGTTTCCTGTATAAAGATTCCCATATGCTGCATAAGTTTCTCAATCTTCAACTAGTCGTTTTTTCAAACCATTCATCACACATACCTGTGAGTGTCAGTGTTGCTTTGTTATTATCCTCTTAATGGTAGCTGCTATATTCATCATAGCTACCATTATTGTAACTATCTTCAGAGACGTAGAATTAGGGGGGATATGACTGAGGTGTATAAATGGAAGACAGGAATAAATAATTTTTTTTTTATTATCACACTGGCCGATTCCCACCAAGGCAGGGTGGCCCGAAAAAGAAAAACTTTCACCATCATTCACTCCATCACTGTCTTGCCAGAAGGGTGCTTTACACTACAGTTTTTAAACTGCAACATTAACACCCCTCCTTCAGAGTGCAGGCACTGTACTTCCCATCTCCAGGACTCAAGTCCGGCCTGCCGGTTTCCCTGAATCCCTTCATAAATGTTACTTTGCTCACACTCCAACAGCACGTCAAGTATTAAAAACCATTTGTCTCCATTCACTCCTATCAAACACGCTCACGCATGCCTGCTGGAAGTCGAAGCCCCTCGCACACAAAACCTCCTTTACCCCCTCCCTCCAACCCTTCCTAGGCCGACCCCTACCCCGCCTTCCTTCCACTACAGACTGATACACTCTTGAAGTCATTCTGTTTCGCTCCATTCTCTCTACATGTCCGAACCACCTCAACAACCCTTCCTCAGCCCTCTGGACAACAGTTTTGGTAATCCCGCACCTCCTCCTAACTTCCAAACTACGAATTCTCTGCATTATATTCACACCACACATTGCCCTCAGACACGACATCTCCACTGCCTCCAGCCTTCTCCTCGCTGCAACATTCATCACCCACGCTTCACACCCATATAAGAGCGTTGGTAAAACTATACTCTCATACATTCCCCTCTTTGCCTCCAAGGACAAAGTTCTTTGTCTCCACAGACTCCTAAGTGCAC